TGTCCATTACTTTGTAACATGTTGGGACATTATTATTATTATTTAAAATAAAAATATAAAATAATAATAATTATGAATATCATAAATAAAATAAAATAAAACAAATAACATTAAAACTTTGTTTAAAATAAATTAAATAAAAAAGAAAAAGAAAAGATCTCCCAGCATGCAACAGAAACTATTCCTACCTGAAAACTTCGCGCCAAAAGACGCTGAATTCATCCTCTTAGCCACCGGCCATTGAAGTTCAAAACGACCAATTTCTTTCACCGGGACATTGCTTGTTATAATACGACTTCTTCCTTTTATAATACGACTTCTTCCTTTTATAATACGACTTCTTCCTTTTATCGCATGCAACCTTAAACAAAAAAAAACACTTGTAACTAAAATATACACACACTAGTACACAAAATAAATAAATTGTATGATTTTAATTTACAATTTAACATGATTTTAGTGTTATTTCTCTGCATGTTTTATTTCCGTGAATATGAGACTATTTCTGCTGCTATAATGTTAGTGACTCCATAGACAAACATGCCATAGAATAGCATGATTTATACTTCGCTATCTCAATTAGTTAAGTGACAAAACATTACAATTTATTGCAATGATAACAGATACGTTTTGTAAAAATTTAAAAACGTATCTAGCATTCTGCTACCACTTTCTTTCAATGCCAAAATCTGTGCGAAAAGTGGATCACAGAGCCTTGACATTTTTCTCAGTTCTCATCGGTCAGTTAATATTAAAATCATGTTCTTGCCTACGTCCGTACAACGCCTACGCGTTATTCAAAACCATTTTTTCCGCCAAATTCTGTGTATGCCTTTCTGAGCCTATCACGTGACTACGTTTATTATAAATACTTCGACACAAGTTCATTCTCTCTCTTTTAGCCTCTCTTGCCTTCTCTGACATACAAGATGTAGTAACTAAAGAACTCGAGTTTCGATTCCTTACGTGCGAACGCTACGAAATGCCATCACACACGCACATACACGTACGTACGGAACATTACGAACATTCATTCTTTTAACTACAAGTTATAGAATTCTTTCAACTCTCTCACAGTGAGACTTTTTTAAAAGTCAATAAGACACATCGCCGTCACGCTAGTAAAAATTTGACTTGGATATTCCAGTTTTTCCAATTTTTCACCAGCAAGAAAAATACTTAAAAAAAAAAAACCTTCTGAAGCTACAAGTTTTTATTGAACATATTTTCAGCTTTTCAAGATTTACTTCAAAGAAACTTTCTCACTCAATTCTATTCAACGGAATTTAATCTTTGGTGAACATTTTTTTGGCAGCAAGTTGTATTACATTTATTCCAGAAGTACACAAAGTAAATTCCATTTAGTACAAAACAGAAACTTCTTGAAACATCAAGTAATAATTTAAAGTTCCTTTTTACCAAACAAATTCTCACACAAAAACTTTCAAATATTTCGCAAAGAACACTTCTTGTAAAAACAAACTCTTTTTCATTGTGAAACTAAATAAATATTTTTTCTTTCAAAAAAATTTTTCAAACAATTAAATTAATAGTTAAGGGTGAACTCTTGCTTTGTGTATTGTATATTTTGTATTAAAAACACTACTTTGTAATGGATCTAAGAATGATGCGTGAATATTTAAGATTGTGCTGCAAATAAAATGTGCAATATCCACAAACATAAATTATAAGAAATGGCCAAATGGTAACGATATTCAATCACGACAAAAAATACACGCTTGAAACAACAGATTAAATTTTATATATACAATTTACAATTTCTTTGTTTGTAATGATGTGTGCAAATTAGAGAAGGAAAAGGTCTTTGCTACTTCGGAAATGTTCAGTGTCTGAAAAGTTGTCTGCCTTTGATTGAAAGGTTGAATTTAACTTAGACAAAAGATTTGAATTGAAAAAGTTTGTTGTATGAATTTTTCCAATCTCTCATAAAGAAATTTTGTCTCTTTGGCGGCCATTTTGACACATAATTCCCGTGTGTATCTTTACGTGTGTGTGTCTTAAAATGCGACGTAAATTTGTTTGCTGTTTCTATTTATACTTTTTTAACAACAAAATCGGCTCCAGCGGCTTGGTAGCTTGTTGCGAATTTTTCTGAGAAATGCGTGGGCGAATGTTGTATTTTATTTATTTTTTAGCCAATAGGATTTCTTGAAACATTTAAATTATGGATGAATTCGAGAAAGATTTATTTTTTTATGTCAGTTGAGCCTATTTTTGCACAAATTTTGACTGTTTTGTTATGGACATTTCTCGGAGCTTATTTTTACTTAACAACCAATGAAATTCAAGAAAATGTTTGAAAATTAAAATGAGGGTTACTAAAACCTTAAAGGAATATTACAAAGCAATTCAATTTGCTACATTTATAATATTGGTCTTTAAAATTCAGTATAGCTCAGCTAAATATTCTGAGCAGTTTATTCTTAATAATTTGTATGATTCCTATTGTTGTTATTTTACATCATTGATGTCGGCTTTGTATTGCCTTATTAGCCTTGTGCTATGAGTGGACCGATCTTCTTAATTTCGCATTTATTTTGTCAGAAGTAATATTACTAAAAGCATTTTACTATAAAGAATAAATGAAAGAGAAAATACCTTTATTATTCGTCATAACGCACATTAATTGATCAAAAAGAACAGCATTGTATTTCGAGTTAGCATCACAACAAAGACAGCCCAGTACTGGTCAAATGGAAGTATGCTGAATTAAAACAAGTAACAAGAATAAAAATACAAATCTAATTAAAACAAGTGTTTACCACACGAAACTAACAACTATTACACGGGGAGAGGGAGAAATGTTCCAAAGACTTGCTTTTACCGCATTAAGCTAACTACTATTACATGGCATGTGTGAAATATTCGCTAAAGTCTAACTTTAACCATCTAGCCATCATTACCTACTGTACGTGAAGAATCCCCCAAACACTTGCTTTTTATGGGCACATTGACATGGCGTAATGGTTAGAAAGCTTGTCTGGCAAGAAAAATTACGACTAAGTAGTGAGTTCGATTCTCACTGGGAGCACCATATTTTCGTCCTTGTGTCACATCTAAGTTACGCTTAGAAAATCACCATATCATAGTATGTGTGTGTTAGGCTAACCACTGTTGTATGTGAAATATTCGCCAATACTTTCACTTATAAGAGGGTAGCCACCGTTATCTATTGTGCGTGAGGAATCCCCCAAGGACTTACTTTCTTACCGTATATCATAACATGGTGTGTATGGACATGGTGTAATGGTTAGCAAGCTTGTCTCGCTAGAAAAATTACGACTAAATAGTGAGTTCTATTCTCACTGAGTGCCCATGTTTTCGGCTTTGTGTCATATCTAAGCTACGCTTAGAAATCACCATAACATTGTGTGTGTATTAGGCTAGCCAGTGTTGTGTGTGAAATATTCGCCAAGACTTGATTTTACCGAATGAGGCCAGCGACCATTACATGTGTGTGTGACATGTCTCATCGACTTAATTTTACTGCATGAGGCTAGCCACCACTGCATGGTGAATGGGAAAGATGGAGAGAGAGGGATGAAAGAATGACATTTGCGCGAAAGTATATGCACAGTTCTAGCCTGGAATTCTAACTAGTAAGGATAACTGATCGTTGTATTAATTCTAAAGCGAGCTTCATCCTCACTGGGTGCACCACGCTTGTGACCTTATGCCACACTAATCCAAGCGTATTACATATAACTGCACGCTTCATTTCCAATATTAGCATTTCACTTCTTCATAAAGCCGTAGGGAATTTCCTCATATAAAATATACTCCCTAAAAAATGAATAGTTTTTTTTTTGTTTAAATAATTAAATCATTACAAAATTTCGTCCCTATTTTTCATTGTTAACTGCTACTTGACACTTCTTTTCGTCCTGATTTCTGGTGTGTCCAAGACTGAAACCTTGCATCATTCAGTTGCGAGTCAGTCTTTGTTGAATGTTGACGTTTTCTCCACAAATAAATGCCTTAAAGATGGAGGATGACAAGTTTCACTTCCGCCGTTTGGTTCACCGCTACTGTAACCTGGTATCGAACTCAAAATTCTGTTGGGTCTAGTCACATGGACCAGTGGATAAAGTACTTGTGGACACATGGCCCAGTGTGACCCAATAAATCTTGGAGCGTCGATTCAAAGGGAAATAACTAAGACAAAAAGAGGTATGGCACGTGGAACTAGAACAATCTACCCCGATGGGCGAAATAAAGGGTTCGATTTGAAATTCCAATCACCTGAAGAAGGTCGGAGCGTACAACGGCCGAAACGTTGGGAATATGGCAATGAAGATGAGGATAACAGTCCAAATAATGTAATTAATCATAATCATCTCAGATATATAGACAGATAAACTAAATTACGTTTATCGCATTTTCATTTATTCCAAGTTATACGCTCATATCTCGAGCATTAAAACACAACATTTCTGTGTTACCCACCATTACACTATCATTCATCTCCATAATGAACTGCCGTCCGCATTGCAAGACTTATGAGCTTTAAATAATGTATGTCTCTAAAGAGTTACCATTCGTAAAAGGGTTTCGCTAGAGTGGCAAAAAAGTAGTAAGTCGCCGTTGCTGTTTTGAAGTGAAATCAATTCTCGTGTCTAATTTGGCTACGAGAGTATCGCTCACCAAACAACCTTCTTTTAATCAGTGACAAAGGATAATGGTGACCCTACGACCACAACAACAAAAATGGTTTGTTTATTGGAATTGCGATTATTAGGTGTAAACGTTCAATGTTACCAGGACAGAAGGAAACGTTTGAATCTTTGGAAATTATTTGGTTACAACTCTTACAGACTTACGGCCATATCACGTTGAAACAGACTCCAAAGAGGATGCTTACCAGATCATTTCAACCTTAACCTGCTCATGTCGAGGTTTACGGTCAAGTTACGGTAAAACAAACTCCAAAGAGGAAGCTTTCCAGATCACTTCAATCTTAACCTGCTCATGTCGAGGCTTACGACCACATCACGTTAAAACACTTATTTCTCGTCCGATCACCGAAGTTAAGCAACGACGAACCTGGTCAATACCTAGATGGGTGAGCGCTCGGAAATAACAGGTGCTGTAAGCTTGGATGTGCGAGTTAACGGCTCGGAATTGGAAAACGGAGAGCTGGGTTCTAATTCCAGTAGGGTTCGTTATATTCATTTAAGCTCAAATACACTTAGAAAATGTATGAATCTACCTCGTCGCGCAGAATTATGAGTTAATTAGTAGAACTTGTATCACTAAAACCATTATTATTTCTAAAAGATTCTTATAATATGAAAATATTTTCTGGCTTTAAATAACCTACAAGAGGTTGATAAGATGTCAAAAACTAATCAATCAACCAACAACTCGTACACCACGACTACCATCAACAACAACAATAGCACAATCAATAAATATTACATAATCATCACAAAAAACAACTATAATACCACAGCAATGATTATAATATTACCACTAACAACAGTAAAACTATTACACAAACAATGAATATTGCATCACCGACACCAGCCAACAGCAATAATTATTACACCGACAACAACAAAATCTATTAAATTTGTCGTGTCCACTAAAATATCCAATAAAATATGCAACATATTTCACAAAATAAAAATAATTATTGTGTTAATTATAAACTTAATTATAAACTAATTAATTTTAAACCCGAGAAGCATTTTCAGGCAACAGTAACTACATAAACATTAGAACACGCCTGCAAAACATTTATAAACTAATAACACGCAATAAGGTGCTTACATCTTAAAACACACCAATTAAACCGTACAATACAAAACCACAGAATACAAATCAGAAAGGTTGTTTTATAATTTGGGTAGATATCGCCAAAATATCGCGGGGACGTAGTAGTAGACATATTACGTGGCTTTTTAGGGCCAATTAGGAATAAATAAAATAAAATACTTCTGGAGCGGATTTCTTAGGAAAAAAGGTATAAAAAATTACGAAATCCGGCCCCAACTAAAAGACTCACAAATGCCACTAAGGTCCACGTCACTCTAGCTGCTGATATTCATGACCCCATTCACGTCCACACGTAAAAGCAACGTTCAACTCAGCAGCACTGACCAAACTACAAACAGACCGCCTGGGACTTCCGCGCCACCGTTCACAGTAAGAACTACTTATCTCCTTTATCCACGTTACTACTATGCACGTATACGCATACTGACTCTTTCACACAAACACACAGATAACCAGATTTCATCGTTCTCACATACGTACGCAATACAGTTTATATTCTATCCAAGAATTCTATTAACAACCCAAAATATTACATTACTCATTCAATACATTCAACCAAATTCTTGTATTCTTGTTCTTATATAAAACTAATGTTATTTGTTAATACTACGTTGTCTTTTCATACTGGATTTTATTCTTTCAATGAAAATCGTGGGGTTATTTTAAACAGCCGAATTACAAGCAGTCCCGTAAAAAATATATTTCATTTTATTGAATCCTGACACTCCGAATTTTGACGATTAACAAAAACCCGAGTAAAAGGATTCCTACAAACTAATACCACTTTGGGGACCTCTTTTGTCCGCTGCCGAGCAGCTAGTATACTTAATATTGACGCAATTCACTAGTACTCTTTAGATATCTAGACGGTTATCAACAGCTTCTTTTTCTTTTTCTTAGAATTCTCAGTAGCCACTGTTGTTCAATCAATCAACAACTCTTTAAAAAAAATAATAATGATCTTCTACCGCTGCTCTATTGAGTGTGTGCATCGCCGTTTAATATGGCAGCTGTTCAGATCTCTGTAAAGGATTATAGATGTTGCCCAGGAATTTAATCGGCTGCTCCCTGCCCTCCTTGGGAGACATTTCTAATTCTTTTTGACGACGAAGAGCAGAAAATACAATCAAAGGCAGCATGCAACCCGCGTACCACTTTGAACTGTTATCCTCAAAGAGTCGTTTTAGGGCCAATTAGGAATAAATAAAATAAAATACTTCTGGAGCGGATTTCTTAGGAAAAAAGGTATAAAAAATTACGAAATCCGGCCCCAACTAAAAGACTCACAAATGCTACCAAGGTCCACGTCACTCTAGCTGCTGATATTCATGACCCCATTCACGTCCACACGTAAAAGCAACGCTCAACTCAGCAGCACTGACCAAACTACGAACAGATCGTTCGTTCTAGGATAAGACGCCTTTATCTTTGGTCGCTGCATAAAATGAACGTTATTACTTTTCTTCATTCCATGCTGTATGTGTGTTTGTTTTCATCTGCGTTGCGTGCAGGTCTCCTTTTGTACTCCTGGAGAGTGCGGCCAAATTTCACTCTGCATTGCACAAAAATAAGAAGAATAAATAAATAAAATATTAAAATTGTACCATTCCAGCAACATTATTACAATTATTAAACAAGCAACAATTGCACCACCACCATTAACAACAACAACAACAACAGCTACAATTACTACTACTAGGACATCTTTGAATTTTAATATTTTATAATTTTATATTGACAAAAATTAGGAGGTGTATGCAAAAGTTTCCAGCGATTTTTAAATATTTAAAAATTACGTTTTTCTAGTGTTTATTATTTATCTATATTTCTGAGATGAGGTATTATGTACATCATTTACATTCTTCGGACTATTGTCCTCATCTTTGTCGCCATATTTATTACAACGTTTCGGCCGTTGTACGCTCCGGCCTTCTTCAAGTGGTTGGAATGTCGAACTGAACCCTTTATTTCGCTCACTGGGGCAGACTGTTCTAGTTCCACGTGCCATGTCTTAATGGATGTCAGTTATCAGTTATCTCCTGTTAATTTTCCCTCTGAAAGTTCTCCACTGCCTTAACCGGGTATTGAACTCACACACTTTGGGTCCTGTCACTGGATCTAACCAACGCCTTTATCCACTGTGCCATGTGTCCTGTGAACACCTCAAGGCAATAAAGCCACTAAGACGCATGGGGGTTACTGAGTGTGAGAAAATACTATTAACGCGAGATAACAATAAAAGAACAAGAATTAAGACGGAAGACAATTGGCATTGCATTTAAATTTTTGAAGATCAAAGTTGACTAGGAAGCAAGAAGCCGAAAGAGTGTTCCACAAAAGAGAAGTGCGATAGAAGAAACTGTTCGAACTTACGGTTGTATCTACTATTTCGACTGTAAAATAATGAGACCTACCTGCCAATCTAGTCTTCTTCTTTATGTGCCGCATCCCCTCAGGGGGTAGACGATCATGGATCTCCACAAATTCCTGTTCTTTGCGCTTAAAAAGAAATTGTCACTTTTTATTTCTCCTTAACCCTGTCTCGCCATCCATTTACTTAACCTCACTAAGTATTTTATATGTTTACATTATTTACATTGTTCGGGCCGTTGTCCTCATCTTTGTTACCATATTTACGACGTTTCGGCCATTGTACGCTCCGGCCTTCTTCAGGATCTGTCTATATTTCTGAGATGAGGTATTGTAATTATTTACACTATTTATATTGTTGGGACTGTTGTCCTCATCTTCGTTGCCATATTCACAACGTTTCGGTCGTTGTACGATCCGACATTCTTCAGGACCTTTCTATATTTCTGATATGAGGTATTGTAATTATTTACAGTATTTACATTGTTCAGACTGTTGTCCTCATCTTTGTTGCCATATTCACGAGGTTTCGGCTGTTGTGTGCTCCGGCCTTCTTCAGGAACTGTCTATATTTCTGAGATGAGGTATTGTAATTATTTACACTATTTACATTGTTCGGACTGTTGTCCTCATATTTGTTGCCATATTTACGATGTTTCGGCCATTGTACGCTCCGGCCTTCTTCAGGATCTGTCTATATTTCTGAGATGAGGTATTGTAATTATTTACACTATTTATATTGTTCGGACTGTTGTCCTCATCTTTGTTGCCATATTCACGACGTTTCGGTTGTTTTACGCTCCAGCCTTCTTCAGGCGATTGGAATTTCGAACTCAATCCTTTATTTGTCCACCGGCACTTCTCTCTTTCGGAACTCTCTTTTTAGTTGCTTTTTATTAAAACTCCTCCTATAAATAATAATACTAACGTCCAAAAGAACAATCACATCAAATATGGTGACGATCGTTGTTAGAAAAATGCTTATATGTTTGTATTTGATTTTCTGCAGTTCAAGCAGTAGCTCGTCCTGGATCTGACGATAAACTACATCCGGCAGCAAGGCCTCTGATCGGCAGGTTTTGAGAAACGTGAAATCACCTCTTAATTGCTGCTGTTCCCAAGTCTACCCTGACCCGGGTGGTAGCACCTGTTAGGGTCCCAGCTATGGGCAAATAGTGAACCCTGCAAACAAAAACAAAATACTATGAAAGTATAAAAAATATATTTTTATAGTAAAAATACTAGCAATACATTTTTATATAAAAAGAATTACCAACAATACACACATACTAACTTTTCTGACGTACGGTGGCCGTTAATGATTAAGTATAACTCAAGCCTTCAATGTTACAATAAAACATTATTTAATAGCAAACGCAAATAAATACTTAAGAACAAACAAATAAAAGTCAACGAAAGATAAATAACCATTTCAGTGAATACCTTGTTAGTAGCTTAACGCCCGGTAAATCAAAACCCAAATCATCGACGCACAATAATTCACACTAATTCGACTGGATAGTTCCACTCAATAATCACTACAGTCAGTAGCCTGACACCGCTATTTATACACTTGAAGGAAAACATATATTCATAAGTCCAGAGTGTCAGGCTCGAACCTCGGTGTCGGTAATTACTTATTTTCTTCCTAAATGACACAAACAAATTGTAGCGACTTCACCTAAACAACCAACATGAAAGAACTATCATGAAACTTATCCATATGACATCTTACAATTTCTTAAATCAAAATGTATTCCAAAATATAACTTCAATAAAACAACACAAAACACACATCCCCACCTTTAGTAATCATGTCCACACAAACATGCATATGCACAAAACCTGAGTATCATCTACCATGTATTCAACTGTGAAAGCATAATGAGATATTTTTATTATTCCCAAGCTCCCAAGAAAATTAAATTTCGGCACTAATTAACCT